GAGCCTGGTGCTGCCTGGCCCCAGCCAGGGCTGGTGGGGGCTGTGGGGCCGCACGCCATGGGCCCTGGCCTGGTGCCTGAGGCCCGGGGGCTGCACTGGGGCCTGCGAGTCTTCACTGTGGGGACAGGGGAAGGACACAAACCTTCTCTCTTCACTCTCCTGAGCCAGGCATGGGAAACAAGTGGTTAAAATATTAATTATGACACACCACAAAACTATTAGCTTCGTCTAACACAACAAAGATTTCATCAGATACTTTAAAAAGCAGGGTTAGCTCCTCCCATTTCTTTTTATAACCACGAATTTTAAGTCCCACTAGGGAGAAAAAAAAATGTAGGCAAGAATCATCTGAAACTGGATGCTTTTCTATGTAAGGTCTTGAAATGCCGAAGTTGATTTAAGCAATTCTTCATCTGAGTGCTTTGCAATGCGATGTTTTTCTGCCCAGTTCACAAGGGGCTGTGCCTGCCTGTATCTCCTGCCACCGCAGCAGCTCGGGAGCCTCTGATAGGGACAGCTGTGGCATGCCACCAACTCCTGTTTACCAACTCCACATGGAAAAACGCTTTCATTCCTGGGCTATGGAAAACTTCTGCCGATTAATCCACTCCCCCTCTCTGGGGAGGAAACCATAATAAACACTAATGTCTCTTCACCCTTTTATGCCTTGTGTATTAATCACCTGACAGGGGCTCATGGCTTTCCCTGTTCCAGTTTGCATTTGCCCTGTAACTACTGGGAGGAGTCCTGCTTTGTCTATAAAAAGCTGCACTTCACTGAACATTGTAACAGAACCGAATTTAGGGATTCACTTGCCCATCCTCTGCGGGGAGCAAGGACTGAGCGCAGCCATGTTCGGGATTGGGAAGAAGCTTGCTGAGGAAGCCACGCAACAAGCTGAAAGTGCTGCGCAGGTGGCAGGTAAATACAAATCACTGCTTCGTCTCCTCTTGTGTCTTAGGTGTTAAAGTATGTGCCTGGCTCCTACCCCTGCAGGCTTTTTGTCCTGCAGCTGGGAGCAAATCACTCCCTTAGGCATGAACTTTATAGATGCTCTCACGGGTGAGGTCAGTGTCCTGTATCTCCAGTCCCTCTAACACTATAGTAAATGAAGGACCTATACTAACTACTGGTATCCCACAACTTTTCCCACTCTGTTTTTTTACTGTGTGGGTGCCTAGGTGATGCACTGAAGGGAGGACAGAGGAAAGCCCAAGGGGGAGGTAAAGACTGCTTATTTTTTCTAACAGCTTTGTTTTCTAACCTGAACAGCCATGATAAATACAGATTTTTGTAGTAGCGTAGTGGATTAGCTTCCTGAGGCTCCAAGGTCTTTTATCTGCTCAGTGCTGCACAAATGTGTGCAGTTAAGTCAACTCTACTCTGCTGTCAGTGCTCCAGCTCCACTGGTATCACAGTTACGCACCCCACCAAAAGCACAAGTGTAATTGCGGGAGGGGTCAGGGCACCTGAGTCAAGTTTACTCCTGCTGAGAGGCTTGCAGAATCGACCCTGAATTTACATGCCACTTAGATGAGCCATTGTTGGTGAAGCTTTAACACAGAGACCTGGACTCACATGATTCCTGAATCATTTGTGCTTAATATAATATATGAAACTGTAGAGACTCTTTCGTATTTCTTTACGTGGCATTCACATAAACTCTCAAAACCAAACATTTTGTCTGTGACTTCAAATGCAATAGAAATCTTATGTGCCAAGCAAAGCAAGTGGAAAACCTGCTACTCATTTGCCATCTATCCTTCATTCAGTTTGCTAAGAAGATGAAAGATGCCTAATTCCACACCCACTGCCCCCTTTTCCAGAGAATTTGGGTTTATCCTGTAATAAACTATTTCTATGCTGAAAGAGAAACACCAGGATGTGGGCAATTGGAGGGTAACCATCAATTTGTGTTTTCAAATGAAGATTTCTTCATTTTGCTTTTGCTGTACAGCAGCTCTAGAAATGCATATTTTGTGGAGCCTTTTTGACTTTCCTAGCTTTTTTGATGTTGGGGAAACATTATCTACTGCTTCCTATACTAGAAGACTGACGTGGATGCTTCGTAAGTGGTATTTCTCATCTTGAAGGAGCTGAGTAGTAATCTCAGTGTTCAGCTGATTGATCTAAGTGTTTAGGTGTCAACAAACTCAGGAGCAAAGTGTTTAAATAGCAGCAGCAGTCTTTCCCCTTTTGTCACAAACACTTAAAGTTGAACCAGTTTTTCAGACCCCAGTGGTCTGAAGCCTTTTGCCTGCACCCTGCACGCATTTTCCCAGCAAGTCCTGTGCCATGGCACAGCCCTTCCAGCTAGAGTTGTATCCTGGAACAACAACAGATCTCCCAGGCACTGGCCTGACTTTGGCCACTTCTGTGCCATCAGCACGCACCGTGATGACAGGCAGTAAATACACTGCATGTGACACTGAGCTTGTGTTGCATCTGTGTCAGTACTGCACCCACTCCTGGAAGTATTATAAATAGAGGTACCTTCCAAACTGCCATTTAAATAAAAACAAAGGAGTATTTTATGCTCATTTTTAACTAGAACAAGACTGTCCCACTGGTGGCTGTGCAACTATTAATTACCTTGTCTCTGAACTACTTTTGTTGTGCCGGCACGTGCCTGAAGACACAGTCCCATAAGCTGTTGCTAAGTGCAGAGTGGCACAACTGGGCTATGCAAGTATCCAAAATTAGCACCTATCCCACAGTTCCTAAAAGGAGCCCTGAACTCAGCTGTGACTGAAGATTACTCCAGGAAGAATTTTCCTTAGCTGCACCTTATGTGCAGTGTACATCATTCATGTTAGGAAACTGCAGCACAAGATGATGCATGATGATAATTAGCATGTCTTCTAAGCGTTCAGGGTGAAACAGGCCACTGGTTTTTACAAGGCACTTAACAAAATAACTACTGTTGAAGAGCTATTCAATCTTGGAGACTTTTGAAGTTTTAGACACTCCCAGTCCACTTAAATGTCCTTCCTCACCTCAGCACTACTTCTTCATGCAATGTCCATGAGGAATCCGGCTTGCTCAGTCAGCTCCCCCTTCAGTGCCTGTTGCGCAGAACACATCAATGTTTTTTAAAAGGTAGTATTTGGAGCCAGGGGGAAAAAAAGAAATACAGGTTCAACTGAAGGCCCTTTCCCCAAACTTGTATTTGATTCTCATGAGCAAGACTTCTCTGATCATAACCATTGGAGGCTGATCACACAAATATTTATCACTATTTTTTAGGCTGCGGTTCCTCCACTTTAAGACAATACCTTCTCTTGTCCTTAATGCCTTGTCTCCTCTAACATTTTAATGCCTTTAAAGCTAGTCTAGTCTCTTAGGGAATACAATTTTCTCCAGATACAAGAGAAGTATGAGACTGTACACTAAACTTTTTGATGTGCTGTGTCCTCACATCATGCTGCTTCCAGGCAGTATCAAGCTTTCTGTAGTTGGTGGGAGAATCTTTACCAACCAAACGGTCCCATCCTGCTCTCTGCAGATCCCAGCCAGGCTCAGTAAAAGGAAGGTTTCATTGCACCTAATTCTCTACTAGGGTTTGTCTCCTGACACTGTAGGTGACAGAGATTGTGACTTCCATAATCTTCATGCGTAGCAAGACACATGATAATGTGGGGAACTACTGCCAGCTTCCTAATAGCATTACTCTCCCACTAGACCAGGGTGCCCATCCTTACGGAATAATTTTTCATCTTCTAGCCCTCAAACATTTTGCAAACCCATCTAAAATGTGATTACTGATTTTAGGGGTAGGGTGAAGGCTGCTTGATTTACACTTGGTTTTCTCCTAATTCCAGTTAACATGGTGGGCCAGACTGTGCAGCAAGTGGTGGAACAGGCTAAGGATGCTGGTCAGAAAGGTACGGTGATGTCTCTGTGCATTTCAACAATGTCATGCCACTGAAATCCCTGCCTTGCTCCTTGTCCCATACCTGGTGGGAAAGGGGAAGGTATTGCAGTGATGCTGCAGTTACCTTTGTTCTTCTGTTTTAAAAGCTCTCGATGAAGTCTACAAAGTTGCTGAAACCGGTGAAAAAGCTGTAAAAAATGTGGCTAATGAAGCAACTTCGTGGGGCAAAAGCTTTGGACAATGAAGATAAAAATGTACCACCACTAAAATTTTTGTAAGCAAGTTTCTACTACATATAACTCTTAAATAAAGAAAATACTTATACTCTACCTGACTTACATGTATTCCTTAGGAATCCTTTGGTTACGCATAGTAAAAAACTATTTACAATGACTGGCCTAGAAAGACTGGATTACCTCACAGAGCAGACAGCTAAAGCTGTGCTACGCTATTAATTCAGACAAACATTGTCTTTGTTTTTGTGACGGAATGGATGGCTTGGAGTGGGCACAAAGTAAAGTCAAAGACTTAAGAGCTGGTCTCTCCCATTTTGTCACTGAGCTTAAGTTATGATAGAGTGTGTTAAGTCTCACAAGCTGAGCACCCAACAGTCATATCAACACAAGGTAAGCACCTCTGCGCTTCTGTGACTGTGCTCCTACTTCTGGTCTTATCTGTAAAGTTGTAATTAGCTATTGTGCTGATGAAGACTCAAGTGTGTTTAAGGTATATGTAACCACTGTACACCAGCACTGTGATACTCAAACTACTGCTAACAGCAGAACGCTGCATTACTGCTGACAGAGCACTTAGCTTGCCACGAATTGCTTAACGCTGCTTGAGCTGGGTCACTGGTACAACTTCAACAGCTCTGCACAGGAAAGCACTGATGTGTAATGCAGCACACAGTATGGCAGTGGAGTAATTTACCACATTTGCAGGGCTCCTGTCAAACACACAGATGGACAGTAATCAAGCAGGAGCTGGACGAATGAGAACTAACCACGTCTGGGCTGTAAAAAAAACCAAAAAACTGTGTGTGTGCACATGAACTTAAGAGTGACAAGGGAAGAAATGTCTTGCTACTGCAATAAGTAAGGAATCTGATATTACAGACTCACCGGTTACTAACAGAGTAATTTAGTAACTTACTTGGTCACTTACTTTGTGTCTTGAAATCACAGCAAGAATTACCATTCCTCCAGCACTTCTTCCTGATGGTGACAGTTGCCATCAATGAAAAGAGATGTAGGTCTGAGTTCTTTGCTGGGATGAAAAATGATTGAAAAATGATTTTACTTGCTCTTCTGTATAATAGAGATATTTTTGCATTTAGTAATTTGCACGCAGTATGTAACCCCAGACATTGTAGTTATGATCCTTATGAAATTCACTTGCAGCTTCAGAGTGCTTACTGAGCCACTAGTCAACACAAACTATCCACATAATCAGCACTTAATGCTGCATGAGAGGTTACAGATACTGGCTAAGGTAAGGATGTGTTTTACTCTAGGTAGTAGGTGTAGTTCAGAGCAGGTTCAAATCTGTGCATAAATCTAATGTCAGGCACTGACTGGCTCCCTGCCAAACATCCTACCAAGATTCCTCGTGAATGTCTAGAGACATGTAAGTGAATACAAGCAGTGACAATGTTGTTAGCCAAAAGATAAGACTTGTCTGCATGGGTATGTAGATGTAAGGAGGGGAGAACTTCCCAAGAAGTTTGGTCTAACACCTAATTGAAGTTACAGTAAAAAACTGCGGCAGTTATATTTATAACCTACAGCCCAGAGAGTGATTGCTTTCTTCAGCTGTGGCTAAGGGCTATGAAAAGACTACAGCTGCTTTGCACCCAGGCCTCCAAAACCCCATTAACTAACAAAAACTAGGTAAAATTTTACCCCTTTCTTCTCTCTGTTGCTGTTGACAGGTCTTGAGAGGTATGTGCTGCAAAATGTGATAAGGAACATGCAATTTTACTTTTTCTTAACTGCCTGATCACATTGGGACTGAGCTCAGCAATGCTCAGCACCAGTGTAGCTTTAACATACAAGACCATTTCAGGACAGGCTATCTATCACAATAAATCTGGATTCACTGGTAATTTAGTTCTTACATTTAGCTACAAGCAAAGGGCAAATCAGCTGAAGTGCTGTGATTTTGTCAGACTCCAAGCATGAATCTCCTCAGGAATCTTAGGTCTTTGATAGAAAGTACCTCAAGTTTTCCTTATACCAGTGTTAGATGTGCTCAGGTTCATGTCTCACAGGTCTCCAACACTGACTCTGTTAACAGGTCAGTAATCATTACAATCAAGTTGTCTGAGGAGAAATCCAGTTAACCTTAAGGACTCATCTCTGGGTTTAGTGAAATCATACCTGGTGGTACGCCTGCTTTCTTTCAAGATGTTCTGTGAAAATAAGTGTTAATGTGTGGGTATATAAGAACATAAGATGTTAATGAATTGGGAAATTTGGGCATTGTGCAGCTTTTGGCTTTTTTTCCTTCAGCCTAAGTAGGAGGTAGAAAATATCCTAGTTAGCTACCTATGCCAGCTTTCCATATGTTCCAACACTGAAAGGATGCCATTTTTCAAGTTTGCAGAGGCAAATCAGAGGTACTTTACTAGCTGGAGAGGAGAGGAAATGAGGGGGAAAGGGAGGGAGAACAACAGTAAACTAGCCAAGTCTCTTCAGTGCTACTACACTTCACTTTCATCAACTTTGCTGACAGATAATGCAACTCAGCTTTTAAGATGCTTTCTCCTTTCAGTAATAAAACTAGATTTATTTTTGAGTTTTTTGCTTCTGAGTTTTGGTGGAAGTAGGTTACAATTCATCAGAGTTGAACTGTTACAATTTTAGTTTCAGTTTACTACCCAATAAATGTTTACATAAAAAAAAAAAGTGTGACCTAAGGTACAGATCTCATGTTTGGAGATCCACACCTTGATCACAGTAATTCTTTCATGTTCAAAGGGTCTCATAAAAAAGGCAAAAAACCACTGCACTTAAGTGGAAATACTTTTATAACCCTGGATATCAGCATATATGATGGAGTAAGTCACTAGTTAAATGCATCACACAGGTTTATTGCTCAATGCTAACTACTAGAATAGTACTTCACACAAATCTGAGAGGACACAGTAAAGACCTGAAACAATTTACCAAATATATCCAACTTCAACAGTCTTGTTGACAGGCAAGTTCAAGAGACTGAGATTTGTATTAGTGAGCCCTGTAAGATAACTTGGAGACAGTATCGTATCAGTAGGCATGTAATGAATAAAAAAGTGTGCTGTGAAGACTCACAGATTGACTGTAACTATGGAAAACGACTGAAGGAAATACAAACAGTAATACACCAGCATAGTAGGTTTGGAAAGGTCAACTTCTTTTTTTAATAACTGCTCTTCTCTCCAGCTTATGTCATGCAGTTACAAAGTAGTTAGAAAAAAAGCATGAGTTTCTGGGAGGGACTAGTTGCCTTTTAAAAAAACCATTCCTGTTCATCACATAAATAATATCTGGCACTTCAAGGGGACTCCACTGGACAAAAGCCTTATACTTGAAAAACTGTGCTTGATCCAATGTTGTGTTGAGGTCCATTTTGTTGTACTCTAATCTGTTCAAAAATTTCAAGGCTTCCTGATGTGGAGAAAAAAAAAAGGCTGTGTGTTTTATGACAGTGGATTAAGTATATAGCAGCATTCTAGCTCCTCTGTAGTTTGGCCAATGATTTCTCGGTTTAGTTTCACTCTAGCTGTTCACTGAGGCAGTATCTAATTTTCAGAAAGCCTCTGAAAGGAAAGACTGAAAAAGAATTTAAAAAAACCCTAAGTATGATTGCTTACCAAATTCAGACTATCCCCTTTTTTAGAAAAAAAAAAAAAAAGCCTATAGTCAGAATAGTTATGTAGACACTTGATTAAAAACTAGAGTTGGTTGATAGTTTCAGCTTATAAAAATATTAGTCTGTCACCTCTACATACTTCATGGTGATGGTCAAGCTAGCTTGAACAAGCAACAAAAGACAGTCCTATAACAGCAGCACAGTTAAAGAAAAAAAATTGCCTAAAGAGAATCAGGCCCAAAGCTCTACTCAAATAAAAATTAGCCTCCTATCAAAGTTAATCCCCGCTGGAGGCCCATTCTTCCTTTGACAATGCCACAGCATTGATCACACAAGGCCTTACTGAAAGTGCCAAAGCTAAAATTACATCATTAAACAAAAGTGCATGAAGTAATAATGAGCTACGTGCTCATCTAGTACAGTATCTGATCTGAAGTCTGAGAAGTGGCTCAGGTGGCAAGACCACTCTTTCATACATAAAATGTACCATTTTGTTTTGTAGGCGAAACACCCAGAATGGCCCCTACAAGTGCAGATGAACTGTTGTCTTCAGATACATCTTTGTATACAATTGCCTAATACATGGATTTTTATTGTAAAAAAAAAAAAAAAAAAAAAGACTAGTTTGGACTGAAACTAATTGAGAATAGGATCCACTATAATGTCAGAAGAAAAGAAAATTTTATGGTTACATGTAAACTTGTGATAAGCTTTCTCAAGAAGAGGGTACATTAACAGCGAGAGGGATTGGATACAATAAGGAGCGGTAATGGCCTGTTTATGTAAAGGTCAGGCCAGCCTCATTGTACACTTTGAAGACTTTCTCAATTGCATTGACGTAGGCAGCTGTTCTCAGGTCCAGACCCAGGTTGTACTTCATGGCAGTACGCATGATTTGCTGAAACAGAAAAGAATGTATGTGATTTCTGCAAGTTTCTCCATAGGAACTATACTAGATTTTGCTTAGAGGATCCAAGTTAGGAGTGTAAGAGCCACTAGACTGGTATCAGAGCTCAGATCCTTTGTGGCTCAATTCTAAAATGTCTTTATTCCCCTTACAACTGAGAACTGAAAGGGAAGAAAATCTTTCCCAGATTACTACAGTGACCCTTTTCAGGTCTTGGATCCACATGTACCTCAAATGCAGGGAGAGACAAAAGGTCTCCAGTAGTCTTTGCCCCACTAATTAAAAATACTGCATAAAGGGATTAATCTAAAATTGCTGGTGGTAAAGTAAAGCACTCTTAGGTATGTGTCCCAGATTAGTCAGGTGCAAGACGACAACTAAAAAGCTTCTAATTACTACAGCTTCCACTAGGAAATACTTCCTGATTTCATGTATTAGTCTCTAACGTTTACTATACCCAGTTAAAGTTAGCCATCCTGGCACAGAGCAGAAATACCTCATACTCACAGTGACTTCCATTATTGTGAACTGTTTATCTACTCCTTTAATTGCAATCAAATTCTGGATAACCTATTCAAAAACTGTTGCAAAGTCATGCAAGTTCTTCTTCATACAAGTACATTTACCAATGCAATACTTACCCGGGCAGAACGCTCCATTGTGTAAGCCAACCCAGAGTGGACAATGTCTTTCTCAGATGCACCCTGCAACAACAGGGAATAAAATCAGGGTTTAATCCAGAACAAAAAAAGGTACCAGAGCCGTAGTAGGGACAATGACATGTTGTATTCCCATACTGAAGCTTGCTTGCTCATTTTCTTCTAATGACTGGTGTAAGAATCTAAATTGCCTTTCCTGTGTTACTTGAAGAGCTAATTATGGTCAATTCAATTCTAAAACCTCAGACATAAGCACTGAAGTCTTTTATATGCCTACCTTCTAGATGCATGACGCTAGCATTTTTTATGGATGTGGTATACTGTTTTTAGCCTTCAGAACGCACAGTAAATGTTAAAACAAAAACTCCCAAGAGTTAATAACCTACAGAAGCTACTTGCAATTGTTTTATAGACAGACACGTTTTAGGAAGGGCATGGATCCCCAATTCATATACTCAACATTGTATTAGCCCTGAGCAACTCCAGAATACATTTGTGTCCATTAAAATTTAAATACGCAGGACAATAAGTAACAGAAGATAGCCTGAATTAGGATGACTGAGTATCAGCTTCAATGTTCCACCATCCTGACTGCTGTAATTTAGTAATAATTTGAGACCTTCCTTAACAAAATACGTGCTTTCCCTCACATACCAATTTGGGCTTGATGTAGAAATTACTAGGCCAGTTTCCATGGCTTGTACTTAAGAGATCACAGCAATTGCTTTAAGCCACAGAACCTACCTACCATGCTATTCATTCAGCCTAACATGTATGAAAATGAAAGCATCATACTGGATCAGGTTAAAGTCTCTCTTTCTGTCATGTGACAGTAGCCCAAGTTTACATGCAATTCCCCTGATTTCTTCCTGAGGAAGCATGGTTTAATGTTTTTCATAACTCACTGGAGTTTTTCCCCCAATCGTTTGTCCCATATCCTCTTAAACTTGTGTTTAAAAAACAAACTGACCAACCCTTTTAGCTTCCATACGTACCTTGTCGGAGTATTGCACACCTTAATTGTTGGCTGTGCTAGGAACCATCCTCGTTCTTCATTCTGCACCTCACTCTGCTGGTTTTGTTTGAACTCATCTCACTCTCTTTCACCCTTCCTTCCAGTGAACAATCTATCCTTACTCATCCATTTTCGCACTGCTCATTCTATAGGCCACTATCTCCACCCCAGGACTAGTTTGGGACAATAGGACCTAGGTTAGTTATTGTTCCATGTATGAGAAGCTTCCATATCTTTGACTATTCTTGTGATCTTGCTCTGAACTTTTCCCACATGTACAGTGTCTTAAGATACAGGGACCTAACCTGCATGCCGTATTCGGAAGGTAGCCACACTCTGGATTTATATTGTGACATCATTAGTCAGTCTTACTCTTTTCCATTCAGAACAATTTCTAATGCTGGATTTGCTTTTTGATTGCTGTGGATTTCTAGGCTTTTATTTTGTCATTACCTCCAGATCTTTCATTTGAATGCAAATGGATGAGCTCACAACCCATCATTTTATACAAAAACTTCCCCACCATGTATTGCTACACATTAGATAACAAATTTTACCTAATTTTCTTTGCCTATTAATTCAGTCTTAGTGGAACATTCTACAACTTTTCACTCAGCTCTTGTCTGTATTATCCTGGAGTTACAAAAACAGCATATCAAACTGTCTGCGGTGTGGTATCTTGTTGACAGTTGTTTGGAAATCTAAGCAAACTATACCAACAATATCTCCAAAACAAATTCTGGTAATGTTTGAGGCAGTATTTTCCAAGTTCCACGGACTTTGACAGCTAGAGTTCAAAGAAATTATAGAATCTATGTATTTATCAGGTTAGCCAGCAGAAATATCAAGTAGCTCATAGCAAACAAAAGCACTAGGAAAAAACCCACAAGTTTTAAAGTTCTCCTTACTGGCCTGCAAAATGAATCATTCCCAGCCCACTCCCCGGTAAAAAAAAAAAAACCAAACCTCACGGAGATAGGCTGTTACTCTGAAAAACTCCAGTGTATGAACAGGAACATGCAATCTAACACTAGTTACAAATATAAAAGGCATCTGTATTAAAACTAGCTTTTTAACAATTTTGGAGATATTTTCCATTGGCTCAAGTAAAAGAAAGAAAAATTAGCTTACTTCCAGTATTCCTAAGCAGTTCAGATCATTGGCTTGCTTTATTTGTTCGGCCATCAAGCTAACCATGTACTAATGCCCTGCTTCAGGCAAAAACCTCCAAGATAACTACGATGGTAAAATTTAGATTGCAGTTATAATACGAGAATACAGTTATAGTAACAGTAAAAAAACCAACAGCAAATACTTACCGATATCCTATCTTGAAATTCTGCTGTAGGCACAACTGGAATAGTTCCACCATGTTTCCCAAATTTTCTTTCCAAGCTTTCCTGGACAGACACTAGAAAGGAAAAAAAAGCAGAGGCAAGGTAACTGACAAGGAAAGGAATGTGCTCCCTAACAGAGGACTTGACCCCATGATTTTCAGCATTCAGTGGTTTGAAATGCAGACTACAGGGACCGGGGGCAAAGGGAGTAATCTTATTTCAGGTTTCTGAGAAATGGGAAAGATATTGATTTTTCTGTTTTTATAGGTGAATGCCTCCAATATTAGTAGCAATATTGCTATAGTACAGTCACATGGCAAGTGACTGTGGATTTACTGATCCCACTTCACTAACCTCGGAAAGCTGATAGAGCCATCTGGATTAACTTGATAGATAGCATTAGACAAAATATTTCTTGAATTTAAAGCAATCAATTATCTCATATTGCACTTTGAATATACAACTACTTGCTAAGAAAAAAGCCCATGTGGAATTTTAGTTTTTTCCTTAGGATGTGAGAAGTGCTTTGGTATTTTGAGTTGATACTTACTTCATTTTAATTCTTGACACTCAATTAGTAAGGTTTCCTAAACAACATCACAGAGTATTTCAGATGACAGAACACTGAAGTTAAGAAAGGGATTTAATTTCGAATTGCCATAGCGCTCAACCATTTTAGACACATCTTGAAAGGTATAATTTATGAGAAAAGGTTATATTAAAAAGCATTCAGATGCATGTTTTGTCAAGTCCAATGTCCCAAGATTCTCACATGTTTTCTACAGAATATTGTTTAAAATGGAGCAATATCTTGCAGGTCTTCTCCATTAAGCTTCCTCTCTCCATGTAATCAGTACTCTGGCCCAGAAACTGGGAAGCACAGAATGACTAAGTGGAGCTGATTTTTACAGTGCCTGTACCCATTATATTCTTGCCCTTTATGAATCCTCTGTTGTTGTATGGGCAGAACAATGTCACCCAATAAAACTTTGAATCCTTCTCAAATATCAAGTGTGCAGCTGAAAGACATTTATTAAGAAGTAATAAATATTTCACATAAGCGGTTTGAGTTCAGTATTTTCACAAAATTGAGGAAAGTATCTCTTTATGAATTAAAAAATAACTGAAAAACTATGCATTTAACTCAAGTCATTTGAGGTGCAGGTCAGTTAACCCATCAAATCTTTCCTGCTCTTCCGTATGCAACAATAATAGACTTGTGGGAAACTGAGGTGAATTTAAAATAGTTCTGTATTCACTTCTCACACATTTGGTGTTTGCTAGTCCAATCTATTAATTAAACAGTGAGCGAAAGCGGAACTGAGTACTTACTGAGCAAGTGGTAGTTTGAATCCCTTTCATATTTAAAAGTCAAGCGGCCATAGCTGACATGGTTCAAGTTTTTCAGCCACTCAAAATAGGATACCGTTACACCACCAGCATTCAGGTAAAGATCCTGCACAGAAATAGTTACATGTCTTGAATTGTGACAATGTGACAAAGACAGCTCTATTATATTAAGAAAAAAAAAAACAGAAGTATTATGTATGAAGTATTAGTTTAAACTGCAGTACAGAAGACAATCCAGTTATTCTTAGAGGACAACATTTACCCTCTTCTGCAGTCCCGGGATTACTTCTACTGATTTAAAAGAGGACTTGACTTTAGAACACATGAAGTTCATATGTGCTTGAATATTTTATTTTATTTTAGCACAAGTTTTTAATCAAGAAAATTAGGGCATTCTTAGTCCATCTCGGTGAGTTAAGGCTGAAGATCAGCCACTCCAGTCGCTTGATCAGGACACCCTTTCTTTGGGAACAGGTTACCAAATTGAGTGGGTGTGTTGGTCTCCTTGAGGGCAGGAAGGCTTTGCAGAGGGATCTGGACAGGTCGGACCAATGGACTGAGGCCAACTGTATGACGTTCAATAAAGCCAAGTGCCAGGTCCTGCACTTTGGTCACAACAACCCCCTGCAACGCTACAGGCTCAGGGGAGAGTGGCTGGAAAGCTGCCCGGCAGAGAGACGTAGGGGTGCTGGTCAACAGCCAGCTGAAC